AGTCCACAGGAGGGCCGGGGAGGTACGGACCTTCCCCGGCCGGGAAACCCCGGGGTGAAGGTTGATCTGATGCGCCGCGTACCGCACCGCAAACGGCCACAGAAAATGGGGGGCAGCCGCATGCATCATGGACGTACGAGCGACGTCCATGACCATGCCAATGCGGCGCTCAGCAATCCCATTTTGCTGTGGAGAGTCTGGAAGCGTAAAGGTCTGGCGAATGCCCTGTGCACGACAGTAGGCTCGCAGAAGGCCAGAGGAAAACTCTCCGCCTCGGTCAGAGTGCAGACGCAGAACAGGAAAGTCCGAGCCGAAGCTCCTCCTGAGCTGGAGACGAGCTGCGCGGATCCAGTCGATCAACACCTCAGTGACATCACCCTTGCTGCGCAAGGGGAAGACGGTGGTGAAACGCGAGTAGTCGTCAACCACCAGCAGAAAGTAGCGCTCGTGACCCTGTCCACGGACGCTGGCCGGGCCCCACACGTCCATGTGAAGCGTCTGCAGAGGAGCCTCTGTCGGAGGAAACTATGAGGAGTGGGGGGCAGCCCGGAGGCGCCCCTCGACACAAGGGACACAGGAAGGTCCTGGCCCCGAAGGAAGGGGAGGGAGAGACCGGGGGAGACCAGAGACAAGAACACGGGAAGCCATGTCCCTGAGACGTGGCAAGGAGGGGTGGCCAAGACGGTGGTGCCACAGGAGAGTCTCGTGAGACAGGAGGCGACACGAGCAGGGGGCAGACTCAGGACCAGACCTGGACGCAGCAGCAAACACCTGACCCGACGCAGCTACCTGGCCAGACACAGGGACAGGAGGAGACTCAGTGGTCAGGGTGTAGAGGCTCGACCCCGGCCGACGGGAGAACGTGGCCAGGTGCCGACCTGTGCGCGCGTCCGTGCAGTGGGTCACCCGCTGACTCGCAGGAGTAAACTGGTGAACCCCCGCATCCTGTAGGGCAGCACCACTCACCAAGTTCGTAGAGAACGAGGGGAGGTACAGGCCTGACAGGGCGCCCGAGGGGGCAGCTGGACACGGTAGAACAGTGGAGAAGTGAGAGAGGACAGGACCCCCAGAGGGGTCAGCCAGGGAGACCGCAACCGGCCGGCCAAGCGGCGTGAGTGTGGTGCGGTCCCGAAAGAAGGAGCGAGAAGCCCCAGAGTCAAGTGTAAAGGTGAGGGAGGCCGAAGCCGACGCGGTACCTGAGAGCGCAGCCTCACCAGTACCTAAGAGCGCAGCCTCACCAGTACCTGAGAGCGCAGCCTCACCAGCACATGAGAGCGCAGCAGTGTCACAGGCACCTAGCGCAGCCGTACCAATGCCCGGGTCGGGCGAGAAACACCGGTAACAGTCACCCTCATCACTAATAGACACAGCATACATGGCAGCAAGGATAGCATCAAAGTCTAGCTTAAAGATCGCTACACCGGCTCTAGAAAGGTCTCCCCAGCAGGGGATCTCAGAGGCGTCAGGGAACTGCTGACGCCAAGCGTCCGTCAGGCAGCCAAAGCAGCGCCGGGTGGCGTGGGCACCCCCACACTGCTCACCCGCGCGGTCGCCACTGCGAAGAACGTAGGTGCACGGGCCAAAACCTCCACCACGCTGACTCTGCGCGTACCACTCACGGAGCTGCTGAGGCAGGGGGATGTCCTGAGAACGCTGCTGCTGCTGCTGCTGCTGCTGCTGCTGCTGCTGCCGCGGACCACCACCAGAGCCGCTCCGCTGCAGGGCACTACCCCGATCAGCTCCACCTCCTCCGCCACCACCTCCTCCACCGCCGCCACCACCACCTCCTCCGCTCCCACCGCCTCCGCTGCCACCGCCTCCGCCGCCGCTGCCGCCACCACCGCCACCACTCCCGCCACCACTCCCACCGCCACCCCCGCTCCCTCCGCCGCCTCCACCGCCACCTCCACCGCCCCCGCCAGCTCCACCCGCGCCCTTGCCCCCCTTGCCCTTGCCAGTGCGGCGTCTCCCGCTAGGGGCAGACGCCGCGCCGACCGACTCAAGACCAAGCAGGTCGGCAGCAGCAGCAGAGGCAACAGAGGGCAGCAGGGGGGAAGGAGAACACCCCTCAAAGATGGGGGTGCGCGGGTCTCCACGAGAGGCTCCTACAGCGACTATACTCCTCTCCGCTGCTAGGAGGGGCTTCTCGAGGAGGTCGACAGTGAGGGTGGTGGGACAGACTGAGAGGAAGTGGTCCCTGACTACGCGAAGGGAGTCAGGGAGACGAGTGACTATGTAATAGAGAGCGATGTACATGGGGGGGGGGGTTCTTGGCGCAGAACTCAGCAGGAAGGGCGGCGCGGTAGCGAGTGTCACTAGTGCGGAGGTGCGTAATGAGGTCAGCGATAGTGGGAAAGGCAGTGAGATCAGGAAAGAGGTACGGTAGCATGAGACGGCTCAGTGCAGCAGTGGCAGGGGAAGAGTAGCGCGCAACGACAGCGTCGTACAAGGTCTGAGCACTCTTGTACTGACTAAAGTGCGCGCGCTCAGTGGTGGGCAAGTGGCGACGCACAGCAAGACGTGCAGCAGCATCGCGGGTGGCCCACTGAGAGCGAATAGTGGGGTCAGCATCAGCAGCAGGGGCAGGAGAGGCGCCAGAGGTGAGGTCAAAGAGAGAAAGGCCGTCAGCTCTGTCGCACTGTAAGAACAGCTGCAGGTCGTCGACCCAGACCTCAAAGTCAATGGCTCGACCCTTAGCGTCAAAAGCGAGGACACTGGGGGTAGCCATGACGACGACATTGGAGCAGTGCAAGCAGTAGGGGAAGGGCACGCAGTGACAGCGGTATGGTGCTCATCGTGCAGGGCAGGTCGAGCGGCTCGGCAGGAAGGTTGCCCGGCGACGCGGCTGCGAGGCTGCTGGGCGGCTCGGCTCCCGGGCGGCTCGGCTGCGGCTGGGCGGCTCGACTGCTGCTGGGCGGCTCGGCGGCTCCTGGGCGGCTCGGCTCCCGGGCGGCTCGGCTGCGGCTGGGCGGCTCGGCTGCTGCTGGGCGGCTCGGCGGCTGCTGGGCGGCTCGGGTGCTGCTGGGCGGCTCGGCTGCTGCTGGGCCGCGTAGGTAGGGCGGCCGGGCCGCGAAGGTAAGGGCGGCGGGTGGGCCGCAGGTAGGGCGACGGGTGGCCGCGAAGGTAGGGCGGCGGTTTGGGCCGCGAAGGTAGGGCGGCGGGTGGCCGCAAGGTAGGGCAGCGGGTGGGCCGCAAAGGTAGGGCGGCGGGTTGGGCCGCGAAGGTAGGGCGGCGGGTGGCCGCGAAGGTAGGGCGGCGGGTGGGCCGCAGGTAGGGCGGCGGGTGGCCGCGAAGGTAGGGCGGCGGGTGGGCCGCGAAGGTAGGGCGGCGGGTGGCCGCGAAGGTAGGGCGGCGGGTGGGCTGCGAAGGTAGGGCGGCGGGTGGCCGTGAAGGTGGGGCGGCGGGTGGCCGCGAAGGTAGGGCGGCGGGTGGCCGCGACGGTTGGGCAGCGGGTGGCCGCGAAGGTAGGGCGGCGGGTGGCCGCGAAGGTAGGGCGGCGGGTGGCCGCGAAGGTAGGGCGGCGGACGGCCGCAGGTGGGGCGGCGGGTGGGCCGCAGGTAGGGCGGCGGGACGGCCGCAGGTAGGGCGGCGGGACGGCCGCAGGTAGGGCGGCGTGTGGCCGCGACTCGGGGGCGGCGGAGCCGCAACTAAAGGGCGGCGGAGCCGAGAGAGGGCGGCGGGGCCGCAAGGGGAAGGGCGACACGGAGGGTCGCTAAAAAAAAATGCGCGCCTCGGGGCGCGCTTCGGTGGGCCCTAGAGAACAGTCCCTAGGATGGGACCTGCTCTGATCCATGTGAAAATAGGAACGTGAATGAGTGAACTATGAAATGTGTGAGTACAAGTACCAACCCTAATTGGGTTGTACCCCCTATGGGATACCCCACTATAGCCTACACAAAAGCATAAGCTATAAGTTCTGACAGTTTTACGACTTCCACTTGGCGGCGATGCCGCCCTTGCTACAGTTGGCAAGCGTGCACGCGCCCTCCCCGGGCTTGCCCAGGTCCTTGTGGCACTTCATTTTGTTCCATCTGGCAACCTTCACGCCCACCATCAGCATGCTGACCGTGCTCGGGCTCATGATCGTCGTGCCCTCGAACTTGTCCAAGTTTCCCACAGCCGCTGCCTTCTCGATGCCAGAAGGGACCTCCGTCGCCACGCCATTGGCGCCCTTGGCCTTGTCAAGGTTGACCGCCGGGTTGTTGGGTCCAGTCATGACGGTTTGTTCTGCGGAGGCCACCACAAGCAGGACGACAAAAGTTGCGACGAAAAGAAAGAACGTTGTGCGTCTTATCGGTGAATCTGTTCTAAAGGGTTTTAACTGTACAGAAATAAACTCCAGAAGATGCGCCTCACACTACAATTTTTGATGCCTTGTAACTGAATGATTTCACCATCCGTGTTGTACCCCCACCGATTTGCCTTCTCGTTATGGATTTGGCAGGATAGCTCGTGTGTCGAAAGCTACGTGTACAGTGCAGCACTATATTGGAATTGTTGCATGTCGCAGCAAGGTCTTGGTTCTACTCCAAACCTCGAGTCACGAGTCCCAGGTTCGATTCAGGAGAAACAAATCCGACCTGCAAAAGTATCGACCAGTGCTCGAATCTCGTTGCTTTTGCAGTTCAGGTCACTTCGCGTTCATCTCAAGGTACGTTTGGAAGCGCAGGTTTCTGCTTTTTGCAGACAGGGAACTCTTCGGTTTGTTGCCCTGAAATCTGCCTTGACCTGTCAGGTAGACAAGAAAGTTCGAAGTTCTTCAAGGCGAACGGAAGAAGCCTGATCCCGTCAGGTTATAACTGTTGCGGTGCGATACAGCGTGGACAGCTCAGTGAGGCTAGTTTATCGGTATTTATTTCCATATTAGATGAAGGCTACAAAAAATACAATTGCAAGAAAATGATAAGTGTGTTAAGCACCTAAAAGGCAGGTTGGGTTGCAAGGGAAAGGGCAGTCGACTATCTAGTTACTTTCTAGTCGAAATACTAATCTCCAATAGCTTATGCCATTTTCTGAACACATCAGGTGCAAAGCGCAAATTGGGACATAAAGCACATTTATTCTCTTCCACATAACCATGTCAGATTTGTATGACATAGCTGTTGTAGGCTATAGTGGGGTAGCACATATGGGGTACAACTTTCTAGGGTTGTATTTGTACCCAACTTTCACTTAGTCATTTCATTCTCGTTCTAACTTTCTCATGGTATTGAGCAGGTTCCCTCGTGGGAACTGTGCCTAGGGCCCACCACATCGACATTTTTTTTCCTGCCCGGAGCGCGCTCCCCGAGTCGCGCTCCCCTCTCTGCCTTCGTCGAGCCGCCCTAGCGGCCACTTCGCGTCGCCCCTAGCGGCCTCCCTTGCGCCGCCCTTACGGCCCGTCGCGGCCCTTCCTCGGCCCGTCGCCGCCCTCACTTGCGGCCCCGCCGCCCTCACTTGTGCGGAGATAACTACTACAACGGGAGCTTAGAGTACTGGCTAGGCACTTGTGCTCGTGTGATGTCTGCGTTCGTTGGTCCTTAGACGTTTTCCTAGTGCTCACACTGCTTGCTAGTTCATGGGGCAATTTGGCAAGAGTTTCACTAGAGAACGTTGTCAATAATGGTACAATGAAGTTGGCAATGCAAGACTACATCAGAGCTAGCATTCAGGTTGGTCGACTGCCAGCACAGCATGGTCAACCGCGTTCCAGCACGACTTGGTCGACCACGCTACAGCAGTGCAAAGTCGACGGCTTGCCAACGCTGCAGGTTGACGGTGTGCCAGCATTGCTCACGCAGGACAGCAGTGCACCCGCTTTGTAGGTGCGCGCAGATGATTGGCGTGCAAAGTCTCGTCACCTGCACAGCGCACACACCACGTCAACCTCGGGCTAGCGACTGCCTCTGATCCGCCACGACGACCTCGGGATACCACCATGGAGGTCGGTCTCGCCAACTTCGCCTGGGTGACCGTCGCACTCCTTCGCAGAACCTCGTCACCCAGGTATCCTGGTCGACCGGGCAACTTTGTCGACCAGCTGCTCCTGTATGTGCTCGTCGACCTCCCAAGTCGACAACCACACCAAGTCGACCTCACCAGGTCGACCACTCCTCCGCTCGACCAGATCTAGGTCGACGTCACTCCTGGTCGACCAGTGCAGTTGTCAGCCGACCACCCAAGTCTGCTACCCAAAGTCGGCGTCACCAGGTCGACGCCCCTTCTACGTCGGCGCCGACTTCCAGACTGACCTCTTGAAGTTGGCGACCTCCCAAGTCGGCGACCTCCCAAGTCGGCGCCGACGTGTAAAGTCGGTGACCTTGCAAGTCGGTGACCTTGCAAGTCGGTGACCTTGCAAGTCGGTGACCTTGCAAGTCGGTGACCTTGCAAGTCGGTGACCTGGCAAGTCGGCGCCGACTTCCAGGTCGACGTGCCACATCGCCGACCACCAGTTGAAGTCGGCCGCCGGCTTCCCAAGTCGGCGGCATTGCAGTGGCGCCGTGCAAGTCGACCAACCCCGTCGACCAGCTCGTCCAAGTCGGCGTCCCCACTGCTGCAAGTCGGCTGTACCTTCCGTACACCCCACCACGAAGTCGGCTCCGCCCAAGCGTGGACGGGGCCAACCCACAACTCCCGTAGACAACTTGCGGCCCCGCCGCCCTCAGTTGCGGCCCCGTCGCCGCCCTCAGTTGCGGCCTTGTCGCCGCCCTCAGTTGCGGCCCGTCGCCGCCCTCACCTGCGGCCCCGTCGCCCTCCCTTGCGGCCCCGCCGCCCTTAGTTGCGGCCCCGTCGCCCTCACCTGCGGCCCCGCCGCCCTCAGTTGCGATCCCGCCGCCCTCAGTTGCGGCCCTGTTGCCGCCCTCAGTTGCGGCCCCGTCGCCGCCCTCAGTTGCGGCCCGTCGCCGCCCTCCCCTGCGGCCCCGCCGCCCTCACTTGCGACCCCGCCACCCTCAGTTGCGGCCCCGTCGCCCTCACTTGCGGCCCCGCGCACCTCAGTTGCGGCCCCACCGCCCTCACTTGCAGCCCCGCCGCCCTCAGTTGCGGCCCCGTCGCCCTCCCCTGCGGCCCCGCCACCCTCACATGCGGCCCCGCCGCCCTCCACTGAGGCCCCTTCGCCCTCACCTGCGGCTCCGCCGCCCTTACTTGCGGCCTTGTCCACTGCTGCAGCGCCGCCCGCCACCCGAGCCGCCCGAGCCGCCTCACCCGGCCGAGCCGCCGACCGCCCGCCGCCCTGCAGCAGCACAACTGAGCCGCCCACAGTAGAGCAGCCGAGCCGCCGAGCCGCCGAGCCGCCTTGCAATCGAGCCGCACTGCAGCAGAGCCGCCCTGCCGCCCACCAGCCGAGCCGCCGTGCAGTCGAGCCGCCCGGCAGTCGAGCCGCCGAGCCGCCCAGCAGTCGATCCGCCGAGCCGCCCAGCAGCCGAGCCGCCGAGCCGCCCTGACGCCGAGCCGCCCGAGCAGCCCTGTCCGGTGAGCACAGCACCTCTGTCGCTGCACTGCCCTTTCCCTCCTGCTTGCACTGCTGGTCTACTGTTGTCATGGGAACCCCTAGTGTTCTTGCTTTTGACGTTGAGGGTCGAGCCATTGACTTTGACGTCTGGGTCGACGACCTACAACTGTTCTTACAGTGCGATAGGGCAGACGGTCTCTCTCTCTTTGACCTCACCTCTGGCGCCTCTCCTGCCCCTGCTGCTGATGCTGAAGGCATTGTTCGCTCCCATGTACATCACTCTCTATTACATAGTCACCCGCCTTCCTGACTCCCTTCGTGTAGTCAGGGACCACTTCCTCTCAGTCTGTCCCACCACTCTCACTGTTGACCTCCTAAAGAAGGCCCTCCTAGCAGCGGAGAAGAGCATAGTCGCTGTAGGAGCCTCTCGTGGTGACCCTCGCACCCCCATCTTTGAGGGGTGTTCCCCTTCCCCCCTTTTGCCCTCTGTCGCCTCTGCTGCTGCGGCCGACCTCGTTGGTCTTGAGTCGGCCGGTGCGGCGTCTGCCAATAGCGGGAGACGCCGCTCTGGCAAGGGCAAGGGGGGCAAGGGCGCGGGTGGAGCTAGCGGGGGTGGTGGAGGTGGCGGTGGAGGCGGCGGAGGGAGTGGGTGGCGGTGGGAGTGGTGGCGGGGGTGGAGGGGTCGGTGGCAGCAGTGGAGGCGGAGGCGGCGAAGGCGGTAGCGGTGGGAGCGGAGGCGGCGGTGGTGGCGGAGGTGGAGGAGGCGGTGGTGGAGGAGGTGGAGCTGGTCGGGGTGGCGCTTCGCAGCGGCGCGTCTCTGGTGGTGGTCAGCGCCAGCAGGTGAGTGGTGCTGACCTACAGGATGCGGGGGTTCACTAATTTACTCCTGCGAGTCAGCGGGTGACCCACTGCTCGGACGCTCGCACAGGCCGGCACCTGGCCACGTTTACGCGTCGGCCGAGGTCGAGCCTCTACACCCTGACCACTGAGTCTCCTCCTGTCCCTGCGTCTGGCCAGGTAGCTGCGTCGGGTCAGGTGTTTGCTGTGGCGTCCAGGTCTGGTCCTGATTCTGCCCCCTGCTCGTGTCGCCTCCTGTCTCACGAGACTCTCCTGTGGCACCAACGTCTTGGTCACCCTTCCCTGCCTCGTCTCCGAGGCATGGCTTCCCGTGTCCTTGTCTCTGGTCTTCCCCTGTCCCTACCTCCCCTTCCTCTGGGGCCTGATCCTTCCTGCGTCCCCTGTGTTGAGGGCCGGCTACGGGCTGCCCCTCATTCCTCTCAGTTTCCCCCGACAGAGGCCCCGCTGAAGACGCTTCACATGGACGTGTGGGGCCCGGCCCGCGTCCGCGGACAGGGTCACGAGCGCTACTTTGTGTTGGTGGTTGACGACTACTCGCGTTACACCACAGTCTTCCCCTTGCGTAGCAAGGGCGATGTCACTGAGGTGTTGATCGACTGGATCCGCGCAGCTCGTCTCCAGCTCAGGAGGAGCTTCGGCTCGGACTTTCCTGTTCTGCGTCTGCACTCTGACCGAGGCGGAGAGTTCTCCTCTGGCCTTCTGCGAGCCTTCTGCCGTGCGCGAGGCATCCGCCAGACCTTTACGCTTTCGGAATCTCCACAAGAAAATGGGATTGCTGAGCGTCGCATTGGCATGGTCATGGACGTCGCCCGTACGTCCATGATGCATGCGGCTGCCCCCCATTTACTGTGGCCGCTTGCGGTTCGGTACGCGGCGCATCAGATCAACCTTCACCCCAGGGTCTCCATGCCGGAGACCTCCCCAGCTTTACTGTGGCGGGGAAGGTAGGCGATGCGTCTGCATTCCGTGTCTGGGGATCTCGGGCGTTTGTCCGCGACTTGTCTGCGGACAAGCTGTCCCCCCGAGCTGCTCCTTGTGTCTTCCTTGGCTTCCCCCTTGACGCGCCAGGGTGGCAGTTCTCCCACCCCACCTCTCGTCCTGTTCTTTCCTCCCATGACGTCACGTTTGACGAGTCGGTCCCCTACTATCGTCTCTTCCCCTACCGCACTCCTTCCCTCCCCCCGCCTCCGCTCTTCCTTGTGCCAGGTCCCCCCCCAAAAGACCCCCTCCCCCCTCAGGGTCCTGCCCCTTCAGGTGTGTCCCAGGTAGACGTAGTCGAGCCGGTCGAGGTTACTCGTGACTCTGGTACTGCTGCGGGTACTGAGCCTGGGGGTGCTGACTTTGGGGGTGCTGGGCGTGAGGGGTGCTGAGACTGGGGGTGCTGAGCCTGGGGGTGCTACGCCTGGGGGTGGTGAGCCTGGGGGTGCTACGTCAGGAGCTGCTGACCCTAGGGGTGCCACGTCTGGAGCTGCTGAGCCTAGGGGTGCGGAGCCAGCGGCCGCTGGACCTGCTCGTGTGACGTCTGGCGGTGCTGCGCCTGGAGGTTCTCCGAGTGCTTCGTCTCGGCGGGAGCCACTCTCTCCACAGGAGCTGCGCGAGTGGTTTGCCCAGCGCCGGAGGCGTGCTGCTGGACGTGGAGCTTCTTCGACTGCTGAGGGTGCTGGTGCCGCCGGTCCCGGAGGTGCTCGTCCTGGGAGTGCTGGAGCTGCTGGGCCTGCCGGAACGACTGGAGCTGGAGCTGCTGAGGGTGTTGGCGCTGCGGCTACTGCTGTCAGTCTTGGCGGCGGTCCTGCTGCGGGTGCTGCTGGTGCCACTGGAGGTACTGCAGCTGGAGGTGCCGTTGGCGCTGGTGCTGCCGCTGAGGGTGCTCGTGCTGTCCCTGCTGTGTCTGGAGTCGCCGCGCGGCCTCTGCCATATTTCGTTCCGCTCCTTCAGCAGGTTCTTGGTCTTCCTCCTCCATTAGAGTGTCCACCGCCTGCCCAGTCACAGTCACAGTTACCGCCGGCCTCTCCACTGCCTGCTCCTTCTCCGTACACTGGTCCTACTAGAGGTCTTTCTGAGCGTCGTGAGCCTGCGTCTCGTCCTGCGTCGCCAGTTCGTGCTGCTCGCGCTAGTGGTCGCGGTTCGCGTCAGCGTCCTCCTCCTGTCCCTGGCACGCACCGGATGTCTCTGCGTCCGTCCACTGCTCCTCTGTATGCCCCTTTGCCTTCTCCTCGTGAGTCCTCTCTTCCTGCACTTGCCGACCGGAAGTCGGACTCTCTTCGTGCTGCCAGTCCTACTGTCACGCGTCTCCTTGCTACTGTCGTCACTGACCCCTCCTTTGAGTCCACTGCTGCGTCTGCTCTTGTTGCTGAGCTTGTCGACTTTGCTGCTCGCTGTCGTGTAGACTACGCTGCTAGTCTTGTTGCTGAGTCTAAGTCTGTCTGTCCTCCGTCCGTCGGGGGTGAGTGTGCTCTTGGCACGGACGTCCTTGAGGACAGGCAGGAGGAGTTCCAGTGTCTGGCTGCTGCTTCACCTCATCTCGTGTCCGTACTACTTACCCCTGAGGGAGACCCGGATGCACTTGACATCTCGACTCCGCGCTCTTATGCGGAGGCCGTAAAGGGTCCCTACTCCTCTCAGTGGCAGGCAGCTATGGATGCAGAGATGGCTTCCTGGAAGTCCACAGGCACCTACGTTGACGAGGTTCCCCCACCTGGGGCGAACATCGTCAGTGGCATGTGGATCTTCAGGGTGAAGCGGCTGCCAGGTTCTCCACCTGTCTTCAAGGCGCGGTACGTGGCTCGTGGCTTCAGTCAGCGGCAGGGAGTTGACTACTTTCAGACCTTCTCTCCCACCCCGAAGATGACCACAATTCGGGTGCTGCTGCACGTAGCCGCTCAGCGTGACTAGGAGCTTCACTCCCTTGACTTCAGCACTGCTTTCTTGCAGGGTAGCCTGCACGAGGAGATCTGGGTGCGCCGTCCACCTGGCTTCACTGGGACTTTTCCTCCTGGCACCTAGTGGAGCCTCCAACGGCCAGTCTACGGTCTTTGCCAGGCATCGCGTGAGTGGCACGACACACTGAGGACTACGCTTGCGGCTCTTGGGTTTGCTCCCTCTACTACCGACCCGTCGCTGTTTCTACGCACCGACACCTCTTTGCCGCCGTTCGACATCCTCGTGTACGTCGACGACTTGGTCTTTGCCACTGCTGACACTGCTGGACTCGCCGAAGTCCGAGCTGCAGAAGACATACATGTGCACAGACCTGGGTGAACTGCGCAGCTACCTTGGCTTGCAGATCACCCGGGACAGAGCACGCGTCACCATTATCCTGACTCAGTCACACATGGTGCAGCAGGTCCTTCAGCGCTTCGGCTTCACGTACTCCTCGCCTCAGGCCACTCCTCTGTCTACTCGCCACTCGCTCTCAGCTCTGCCTTCAGATGAGTCCGTAGAGTCGAGTGGCCCGTACCCAGAGCTTGTTGACTGCCTCATGTACCTGATGACGTGCACATGACCTGACCTTGCATACCCTCTTAGCATTCTTGCACGCTATGTTGCTCCTGGGAGACACAGACCAGAGCACATGGCTGCAGCGAAGAGGGTGTTGCGCTACTTGTGCAGTACGTCGGGCATGGGGCTAGTGCTTGGAGGGCAGAGTCCAGTGGTCCTCACTGGGCACGCAGACGCTTCTTGGGCTGACGACCAGGCTACACAAAGGTCGTCACAGGGTTACACCTTCAGCCTTGGTTCTGGCTCTGTTTCGTGGCGGGCTACTCGCTCGTCTTTTGTTCTCGGCTCCAGTTGTGAGGCTGAGATCTACGCCGGAGCCATGGCTGCTCAGAAGCTTCGCTGGCTCACCTACATGCTGACCGACCTTGGAGAGCCGCCTCGTTCTCCTCTAGTGCTGTACGTAGACAACAAGGCCATGCTGGCCTTGTGTCGAGAGCAGCGCCTGGAGCACAGAACGAAGCACATTGCTCTCTGCTACTTTCTTGCTCGTGAGCTGCAGCAGCGTGGTCAGTTGCGACTTGCGTACGTGGCCTCTGAGGCCAACACTGCTGATATCTTCACTAAGGCTCTTGCGCCTTGTGATCATCAGCGCTTCTGTACTCAGCTTGGTCTTGTGCCTGTCTTGCCGCACTTCTTGACCTTGCTTGTACTGTCACATATATATACTCCTGCTCTTGCTTGTTTAGCCTTTTATATATATATATGTGTGCTTCTGCATGTGAACTGGCCGTGTG